GTGATCTTAGCATTCAGAGCTGCACTCCCTCCACAGCCATTAAACCCTCTGAGGTAGTGCTAACTTAAATAAGAAACAATAGAAAATGATTTAAAAAGTCCCATTAGTGTGAGCAAATTAGAGGCCTAACAAGTCAGCTGGGAAGGGCAGGGTCTCGTTGCATTTTGAGCTTGTTAAGGGTCTTCCTGTAGCTTCCCTGCTGTGTTGTTGCCTTTTGGAAAGACACACAAAAGTAGGTTTTGTTCCCACTTTTTTGTTTCAAGACCAAGAGATTAAATGGTTTCTTCATCCTGGTGTGTGCTCTTGCTGCAGCTTGTTCTTCTTGCTCTAAGGAAATGTAGTCACCAAAAATGTGTCTCTCTCTGACGGACAACTTTCTGCCTCCCCAGCAGCCAGAAGTGCCAAACCTAACGTTGAGTCGTTATGAGAAATGGACAGTGACATTAAAGTCTTCTGAGAAAAAAAATCTCATTATCATGACATTTTGGTCATATTTATTATTTCTAATTAAAGGTATTTGGTATTATACTAATAAAGAAATTATGCCCATTTCACCAAAGCAATAGTTTGATAAAACTGGGTTAATTTATTCATTATTTGTTAAATATTTAATTTATTCATCTCTTGTTTACTGTAATATATATATATAATATATAAAATCAGTTCGGCCGAGCTCACAGAGTTGGCGTTGTCCTTGGAGTGCCGGCTGCACGCTGTAGCCTCACTCAGCTCCTCATCCAGCTTTCTGCTAACCCAAACATATGGTTCATGGGCAGAGTTAAATCTCAGCCATCGTAATAAAAACTTCCATAACCTTTGACTAAAAATTCCCAATCACTTGGGATCAAATCGGTTCTTCTCATCCTGAACATTTCGTTGAGCTTGTGTTAACCTGCATATGAAAAGTAAACAACGCAACATCTGTTGGAGCCATTCTTCCAGTTTTGGAGGCACCGAGTGCTCCTGTGACCACCTTGACTCTCCACAACTTGTTTCCTCTTTCAGCCCAAGGTATTTCTCAAGCTTATCGTCCTCCTCCTTTCTGATGTTATTATGGATGTTACTGGGGGTGCTCAGTCTACTACCACTGCTTTCTCCTGTTGCCTATCGTCCACCACAATGTCCAGTTGGTTAGCCATCACCTGTTTGTCAGTCTGGGTCTGGAAGTCCCACAGTATCTTAGCCCTGCCATTATCCACCAAGGCTGGTGGAGTCTCCCACTTTGACTGTGGGACCTCCAGTCCATACTCAGCACAGATGTTCCTGTACATTATTCCAGCCACTTGGTTATAGTGTTCCACGTGTGCTTTGCCTACCTGGATCTTACACCTGCTGCTCTGTCTTGTCTCAGGGACATTTTGCACTGCCTGCATCTTAGGTCTTGTCTGGTGTGGTAGACCCTGGCCTCTGTTGTTCTTGTGCTGCCATGATTAGTGCCTCTGTGCTGTCCTTCAGTCCATCCCTCTCTAGCCTCTGGTGGATTTGTTGATGTGAGCCACTTCCTCAGTCTGCTGCTGGTACGTGCCGTGCAGAGCTTGTCTTTCCGTGATGGCTCCCCTTGTTCCTCCTCTTCCACACGGTTTTCGCTGCTGCCTGAGACTTTCACTCATTAGTTAATTATTGATGGCTTACCTCCTGATGCAGGATCTTCATTGTTTCATTCTGTATAGTGGCTGGAATAGTGAAACGTTCACTGGTGCTCTGCCTCCCTCTGGGTGCTGGACTCATTCTAGTATGCTTTCTGTCATTTTGTAATTTGCAGTAAAAAAAAATCTCAGTCACATCACATTATTGGATAGTCCACCTAATGCCCGGCCTAGATAAATGACAATATATAAAAAAAGGAGTTGATAAATAAAATAAATAATTAACAAAGCATTTTGAGATGAGCCATTTCTCCTAATTTTCTGTAAAAAGTTGCTCAGCTTTAACTGAAGACTGTCGCAGTGACGTGCCTAAAGCCAGACGGTTTTGTTCTTTCAGTGTTTACAGAGTTGGTTTGGTGGATTTCTACTGACGACGTCTTGTGTTTACAACATGAAGTGAAAAGTGGAGTTGAAAAGTGAACCATTGACAAGATCTAGTTAAAAATATTTTAAGAGCAATATCAGTTTTAAGAAAAACTCTTGAGAAAAAATCTGAAAAAATTAAGAACAATTGTCACTCCTTTGTTGATTAAAACAACTTCTTAATGGTTTTAAATTTGAAATATAGACTCTAGCATCATTTCAAACAGCCATATATAATGAAACAGATAAGTTTTGTAAGAACGATATAAACCGAAGCTTAACTGTCGTGCAGTTTGTCCCAATGGATAATCTATATTTGTATATGTTTTCATTGTATGTCATGGCAACTGTTTCACAGTCAACCTGTTAAATACTGACAAATTAAATGAACTTGTTATAATTAAATTACTGTAATCTTTTGTCACCTTCCTCCTTCATCCTGTGGCGATCTTGTCCCTAATTTCTGGCAGTGTGTCATGACGCACCACGTTTGGAGGTTTTATGGGTTTAGACCCACGTTTGCCTAATGGCTGCACCCACTTCGAAGAGTCCTCGGTGAAACACCAAAGTGAGTGAGGATTCTTGACATCTTGATCAAAGTCCCGTTAAAATAAAACGTCTTTTTTTTTTTTTTTTAAGATCTGACAATGAGATGTTGGATGCTGATGATGTATTGTAGCATGCATTACACTTATATGAAAATATATTTCAACAGCATACGTAATAACCAGTCCCACCCAGGATACAAATACTACACATAATAAACCATGTGCCTAATCAGCATGCAGGCAGAGTGCAGTTTATCAGTCCCATTGAAACCTCACTGCCATTCACCATTAGTGTATCATATTTTCTTAAAATACTGTGAAGGAGAGAGGAAAAAAGCCAATTTCTTATTCATATTAGAGGGGTGGTTTTTTTATTTTTTATCAGACTAGGGATGATAGGGGTGAGCAAATAAAATTAAAGGTTATTAAAGCAACCATACACTGATCAAAGTTGCGCCCATAAACAGATTCCCCCAGATTCAGAGCAATTAGCCGCAGCAGTTTGGAAAAGTTCTTTCTATCTCCTCCTGCTTAATAATGGAAACTAGAATACCATCAGGGGGAACATGCACGGAGGCTAGAAGAAGATAGCTCTCCCCTGGCTTCATGTTCAACAGATTTTAGTCCCACTGTAAACAAATCCATTCAAATTCAGTTTTACCATGACTGTGGAATGCTTCTTACACGTATTTTTAAATACATGAAGTTGGTACGTAACATACCAAAAGTCACATCACGAGAATTAAAACAACGATATGAATAAACAATCATTTACTTTGAAAACGCTGCTGCTAACACAGATAAGGTTTATTGTGTTCTTCCAGCAGAGGACCAGTTTCATTTTCTCTTGTTCTCGGAAAGTACAATTAGCTGTTACTTGGCTTTTGATTGTGGGAAAGACAAACAAGCATGCACACGAACAACGGCCACACTCGTACATTACAGAGTTGCTTCAAATTGCTCATGGGGCATTTGTAGTAATAAATGAAAACATTTTCTAAGTCCCATGCTCCAGGGTTACCTAGTAGTACCTACTTAGCATATCATGAAGGCATCCATGAGGCCAGTAAATGACCACAGGAAAAGGAGACCTACCTGTGACCCTGCATTTTCGCACATCTGTCACATTGATTAGGTAGAAACAGGAAAGTGTGAGTCCGTGTGTGTGTGGTGCAGTGTGAGTGCATGTGAGGGGGTGGGGTCACATGGAAGCAGCAGCTACTGAGCACAAAATGTCATTAAGTATTCATAAGTGAGGTGTAGACTTTTGAACGACCTCGTTTGCGAGTGTGTTTTTGCCACTATTTACATTTGCATGGCACTCAGGGAATTCTCAGCTGCCCTGCCACACAGGCAGTGCCCTGAGCTTTAAACAAACATGCATAAAAGTGTACATGATTTGCCACAAAAATGTCAAAGTCAAGGCTGCTCATTTGAATACTGTTAAAAAGGACTGAAAAACAAAAAGCAGAGTGAGAATAAGGGGCTTTTTACCCCCATGTGAGTTGCCAAAGGCAGTGAGGCGATATACAGTACAAACATTTTTCACCTGTTATACATCTGTGTGCAGAGTGTGTGCACAGTGGTTTGTTCAGGTTTTATCTCTGCTGCATTTTGTCTTTAATTCTCTATATATTGTATGATTATGTGTGCAGGTCAGGTGGAAAGGTACACCGTGCAGAGTCGTGGCAGCTACGACAAGAGAACAGTGATGCCGTGTGGAATGAGCTGGCCTACTTTAAAAACCTCACCAAAAAACTCTGCACTGAGAAGTAAGTGGCCTGCATTCAAAATCATCTTGAAACATATACAGCAGCATTGGGTAATGTACCAGCATTTGCCTAAAACAGTGTTGTCTTCCATGAGTGCATGCAGACGCACACAAGCACAGTGTTGGATGTTAAAATGTGGGTTTGCCCTTCCCAGCGTCACAGCATCCATCTAGTCTGCTACGTCTTTATTAGCCAGCAGGAGCAAAGGCACGATCATTAGACTCTACTCGTTTGTAAAACTGGCTGTCCAAAGTTTACAGGGGAACCTGCAGGAAGTAAAGTCACAGTTCAGAAACACTTTTATCTCCGTAAAATAGCTGGAAGAATTTAGAAAAGTCCTGTAAGTTCCAAACCAAGAGTCTGCTGTGTTTCTAGCTTTAGTTTTAATAAAATAGTTCACGTTCTTCTACTGTCAAATATGTAGTAGTACATGGATTAAAGTTCTCTGTCTCTGCAACGGGTTTCTGTCATTTTGAACGTGGCCAGGAAGGATTTCCATCATCCGTAAAAATGAGGGGGGGACGGGGGGTGTCTTGTTGTGGTCTTGTTAAACCCATCCAATCTAATTATGATACAGGGATTAAACTGGTCCTACTGTCAACAAATAAAGAGAACCAGAGTCATAGTTTTACCCGATCAGAGCAGGGCCTTCACGGGGAGCTCAAGCAGCGTTCCCAACGTAGAGACTGCAGACGAGAGCACCAGTCAACATGTTCCAAGGAGGACACCCCGCTTCCTTATTGGAACCACCCACACCCCCATGAAGGTGATGACGTGTAATAAATTATTAAATGTCTTTATATCAAATCTGTGTTCCCACGTGACTAATTCACTGCAGCTGGGGGAGATACTAGAACTGATGCACCATTAACCCCCGCCCCACACCTCGCCTCCAACTTACCCTGGATTTTCGTACCTGAAATCTAACTTTGTATTAAACGTTAGTGTGTTTGGTGCAACACGTATTGGTGGTGTGGTGTCTGCAGTCCAGTGCAGCGAGGAGCGTCCAGATCTCTACACTGGAGAAACCAAACAGCTTCACAGATGCTCAGCACAGGAGAGCCAGCTCCTCAGGACAAGACTCAGCTGTTCACCTACACCTCAGGGATAAGGGACACTCCTTTGAGGACCAGAATGTTCACATTTTGGATTAAGAACACAGATGGTTTGAGAGGGGGGTGAAGGAGGCCATGTATGTAAAAAGAGAGAAACCATCCTTAAACAGAGGAGGAGGTCTCAGATTCCAACTTTCAAGAACCCACAATGCAGCTTTAGGACCGATACCCAGTCAGTTTCACTTGAACCACGACCTTCATCCAGGTGACCAGAGTGGCCCATCTGTGAGTCGGACTAACAAAGACTCTAACAGACCTCTGTTGTTAGAAGTGAGGACAACCTGCTTGTGTCAGTCTGTAAGATTAGAGAGCACCTCAGCCTTTTAACTTGAACCCCACACTTGTTTCTTTGAACTGAGAAAGCTTCTCGGATGAGAAGCGAAACGTCTTCAGCTACAGAATAGAAGTCCAGTTGTTTTTGTCTTGAACCTTTTTTTGGATTTACCATGTCCTGGATGACTGAGCGTCTTCACCAGCAACACGTATGTGTAACGTAGGCATGTGACTAAACCCCTGGCCTTCGAGACAGCACGCCACCGTGGGAGAACACAGAAAGATGAAATGTGCCCCAGATTATAGCAACGGTGTGTGTCTCCACTCTCCAACAATGTTTTTGTTGTTGTTCTTATTCATGAAGTTTGTTTGGTGAAAGCGTCAGTTTCAGGTGTTTGGAGTTCACCAGAAATACAAACTTAAATTCCACATGATATAGCAATAAAAAGGTGTTTCGGCTTTTTGGATGTGCTAAACGTGCTTATATTTTGAACCATACTGAGAGGTAACTGTTCTATGAAATACGTAATTCAATAAATGATCAAATATAAAAATAAATAGCATTAAATGACTACAGGTCTGAAATCCTGTAAACGTACCGTACTTTTCGGCTTATAAGTTGCGTTTTTTTGCATAATTTGCACGCCCTGCGATTTATACGCCAAAACGCCATATTTATCAGTCAGAGTTTCTTTGTCATTCACACCGTGGAGCGAAATTTTGTACACAAGGTCCCAGTTACATCCCACAATAAAAATATAAAATAAAAAGAGTAATAAGATCTAAGATAAGAAAAACATTAACTAAAAATATGCTAAGCACTAATAGCATAAAAACAATACGCCGAACAGCAGCACAAACATGAGTCTGTGTGAGCAGATGAGGATGAGTGAACACAGCGACATGAAATAGTATTATATAATATAATATTAATATAATACTTATGTTTTATTTCTATATTTATAAACCAACTTTTGGCTAAGATACGACCGTTTTCATTAATTCTGACTGAAAATATTGAACACTACCATTTTCAGCCGCTAGATGGCACTCAAGTAGCATAGCATGCTGTTGTGTCATGTAATAGGTAAAAGAGGCTATTATTGACACAATCAGCTTGCCATAGCTGCCACCTTCATCTGCCTGGAGCAACCATCAAATCAGCTTCATTTTGCTGCGCTGCCCCGGTGAAATGCAGCTAATTTTACCATTAAAGTGCATTTATTAAGTAAAAATTCAACTGAGACACACCTTTACTATAAAGTCGAGCAAATAAATAATTTTTTCAGTTGCTTATCTTGTTAAATTTCGATGAAATGCACAGTGAGTCGTCTCTGTGCATTCCTGTGTCTGCGTATCGGCTTTGGAAAATGCAGCTGATTTGACTGTCAAAGTGCATTTATTAAGCAAAAGTTAGACTGAGACACACCTTTACTATAATTTTGAGCAAACAAATAATTGTTTTTAAGTGTTAATCTTGTTAAATTCTTGTTAAAGTCCTCCCGTGCACGCTCCTACGGCCACCATTTGGCAGCCAATCTATTTTTGGCACCACACCGGCCCACAACGTGTTGTCATCTTAGTAAATCTAGAGTTTTGTCATAAAGTGGGAAATTAAAACTTTGTAAAGTTTATTGTGAACAACAGAAGATACCGCAGAATGTTGTGATGACCCACTGGCAGTAGTTTTTACATCGTACAGACCATTCCAAACTGGTGCACACTTAACAGAAGTCAAACGTGTGACCGTCCTTATTGAAAGGGATGCTTGTTATTTAATTTCTTTACTTCTCTTTGTCTCTTTTCACTCTTGGTTTTATATTTGCCCTGTTAGTTGTATTACAGTATGTAGCTGTAGCTATTGTCCTGCTTGATCCAGAGAACAATTTGTAACTGTACCTCAAACAATGATCCTCTGTGATAATACATAAAACCTGGCCTAGAGCAGCAGTCTATGTCTTCCCCCACCACCACTCCCCCCTACACTATCACCTCTTTTCAACTTTTCCATTCTCTATCCTGTGCCTCTGGACTCTCCTCTTTCCCTCTTTCTGCTTGTCTTCCCAGTTGCCTCCCAATGGCCCTCTGTGATTCTGCTGTAGGTTGAGGCCAGAATTCTGATACCCCCTCCTCCTGCTGCTTTCCCCTCCACTCACCCCACTGCCCTGTCCTCCTAATCCCAGCTGAGCTCATTATGATATAGCCCGGCTGCCTCTCTCCGAGCCTGAGCTGTCCGAGCTAATTACAGGCTAGTAGCCCTAGTCCCGCCGATGCTGCCTGTTAAGGGATGTCCATTTGCCTGCCTGCCTGGTCACGACTAAAACTGAGCAGAGCCGAGCTCTAGATGGTCAGAGGGCGGGGTACATCAGGGTGAATAGACAACAGCAAGGGTCCTGCAAGTACCTGCAAGGAGATCCACAAGGGATGGAGAGCAACTGGCCTCTTTCCTAGCTGTTTGACTGATCTGTTTGTTGGGGTCAGTGTTGATCTCCTCCTCTCTATTTGCCTCTGACAAGCTCCACCTCATCTCTCCATTTCTTGCCCATGGACTTCTCCTTACTTGGGTGGTTGGTGCAAAGTAAACTCGGCTGAGATCTTGAAATTTGTACTTTCAAAAACTCTGTTCCAGAGTACACATTTAAACACACATAAACCTACAAGTTCACTTCCAATCTCACTTGAAATTTTATCATGTTCAAGTGTGACCAACCATTCATTCATTCAACCTTTATTTCTACAGGCTAGCCTCATTGAGCCGCGAGGACTCATTTACAAGAGAGACCTGTTCCAGACAGAACATCTAAAGTACAGACAACAAAACAGTAAACAATGAAAACAATAAACTACAGTAAAAATACAGTTAAAATAAAAGTAGTGTATAAAACAATAAGTCAGGGTGAAATACTAAAAACAAGAACATATTTGCTTTGATTTTTCTAATGACATCATCAAATGTTTGAAACCCCTTAAAGAAATAAAGGAGGACAACTTCACTTCCTGTTGCAACGTGTTCCAGGTGCAGGAGCCGAGTAGGAACAGGCCTTTCTGCTGAGTTCAGTCCGCACTGAGGGAACGCTGCAGGTAATGATGGACTGAGAGCGCACGCTGTAACTGCACTGACGACGTGACATGTGGGAGGAGATATAAGAAGGTAGCAGACCAAGGAGGGATTTATAGATGAAGATGAACCAGTGCGAGAGCCTACGTGTAGATAATGACCAAGGAGTACAGGGTGCAGTCATGGTATGGAAGTTACAACCAGTTATGGATCTTAGCGTATCAAGATAGACAGCGTCCAACATCTGCAGGGAGCTGGCAGGGGCATGCATGTAAATAATGTCACCGTAGTCAATGGAGGGGAGGGAGGGAGAGGTTACAAGGTGTTTTCTGGCATTCAGAGTTAAACAAGATCTATTTCTGAAAAAGAAACCCAGTTTTAATATCAGTTTCTTTAGAAGTTCCATAGAAGCTCCACCACCACCAAGTGTATCGCTGATGCACCAAACGCTTCTATCATTTTTGTTTATCCACGGGCGCAGCCATGGTTGCATGTTCTGTCTGTGCATGCATCTTGATTTCTCCATTCAGTAAGAAGGTGGAGCTGCACCTTAA